CAGTGAAAGAAATCAAAGAAGATCTACGTTAATGCGGAGATATACCATGTTCATCAATTGTAAAATTTAACAAAATAGCTCAAATTGATACGTAAATATAACACAATTCTATAAAATTCCTAGAATTTTTTTTAAATATAAGCAAGATTATTCAAGCTTCATATGGAAATTCAAAGGAATAAAAATACAGAGAAGATTCTAAGTATATATGGAAAGGCAAAGGTAAAACAATTTTAAAAATGGAGATAAAGTGCAAGGAATCAGTCTACCCAATTTCGAGATTTATTTATAGCTATAGTAATACAAACTGCATGTATTGGTAAAGGGATAAAACTGCAGATTAATAGAACAGAACAACAACAAAAAAAAACTTCAATCTATGTTTCACATTTCACACAAAAAGTTACTCAAAGTGGGTCAGAGACTAAAATGCAAAACCAAACTACACAGCTTTTGAAAAAAAGATCTTCTGGATCTAGAGACAGTTCTTATATTTGACACCAAAAGCAAAAATCGATACATTGTATATCATTAAAAAAATAAAATGAAATGAAATGAAAAAAATTTTGCTTTTCAAAAGACCTCTTTAAGAAAATGAAATTTTAAACTTCAGACTTGGAAAAGTCCCATATAAAAGAATGAATGAAGGTGGATCACTCTCCAACTCTACGCACAAAAATAAATTCTAAATGGATTAAAAACTTAGGTATAAAGCCTGCAACAGTAAAATATATAAAAGAAAACATTGGGAATGTGTTTCATGATATTAATGATAAAGATGTTTTGGAAATTTCACTCCTGTGGCAAGGGAAATAAATGCTTAATTGGCATTACTTTAAATAGTTTTACATAGCAAGAGGAAATATAAGTTGATTTAAAAAGAAATGCTATTGAATGAGAAAAATTATTTGCACATTACAAAATTAAAAAAGTGTTCATTTCCAAGATATACACAAACTATATTCAGTTTAATAATTAATAAAAAAGTAAGCCACAGATCTGAACCATTCACCAAAGAGAATATCCAGGAGGCCATTAGATACATGGAAAAATGTTCAATATTGCTTCTGATCAGGGGGATGCAGGTGAAACCAACAATGAGATGTCATCTCACACTCATAAGAATGATGAGTGTGGCACATATTAAAAATACTCCCAACATAAGTGCTGGAGAAGATGCAGAGAAAAGGAAACCCTATTACATTGTTAGTAGGAATATATGGTGCAGCCATATAAACTGGTGCAGCCATTTTGGAAAGTTATCTGAATTTAGTTTAAAAAACTAAAAATGGAAATAGTGGACCAATCAGAAATCCACTTTTCAGCATATATCCAAAGAACATGAAACCAAAACTCAAAGAACATTAACTCAAAAAAATTGTATACATATTACTTAAAATATTGAGAACTTAGAAGTAACCTAAACACCCACCAAAAGAGGATGGATTAAGAATATGTGGTGTAGCCACATATATTGTTCAGTCATCAGGGAAGATGAAGTGTTGCCAATTACATGAAATGGAAGGAGTTCCAGGAAATTATGTGTAGGAAGGCAAATCAGAATGACAAATAATGGAACATTTACATAGCAAAATAAAATATTTATGAAAACCATGGACACTAATAAACCGAGGTTTCTGAGGTTAAGTGGGAGGCAGGAAGGAAGAAAGGGTCAAAGGAGCATAAGGACGATGGTGGGAAAAAGTTGTAACAACACCAAGTGCTGGTGAGAATGCAGAGTTACGGACCACAGGTACATTGCTGATGGGAATATCAAACATAGTTATTCTGGAAAACAGTTTGGTGATTTATTTTTTAAAAGCTAAATATGCTACAACCACTTAACTCAGCAATTGTATTTTTAATCACTTATACATGAAAATTTATGCTCACACACACTCACAATGTTCTCTAAAATGTTTATAGCAGGTTTAATAATAATAAATCTAAACTAGACTAACTCAGGTATTCTTTAAATGATGAATGATTAAACAATTTCTGACACATCCATATCATGAAATACTACTGGGCAATAAGAAAAGAAATAACTTGGTATGCACACAAACTGTCTGACTCTTTAAAGAATTATGCTTACATAACATCCTTGAAATGAAAAAAATAATAGAAATGTGGTTGGTAAGAGTTGAGTAGGCATGGGGAATGAGAAAGAAGTGGATGAGCTGGCCAAAGGGGAATGTTGAGGACCCCAGTGGTGTTAGAAACATACTGTATCTTGACTGTACATGTTGATATCTTGATTGCAATATTATACTCTCATCCTCCAAGATATTACAATGGGAGAAATTGGAAAATGGGTACATGTGATTCCGCTGTATTATTTTTCACAACTACATGTGAATCTATAATTTTCTCAAAATAAAATTTTAATTTAAATATTATCTAAAATGACTAAAATAGAAGAGTCAGAAAACGATGATTGGTGTCACACCTTGTTAAACCATTTGACAGCACTACAGATCTGAAACCTAAGAACTAGAAATTCAACTTCTAGATTCACACCCACCAGAGATGTGCTTGCCTGTTTGCCTGTAAGACCTGAACTGTAATGTTCCTGGTAGAATCCCTGGTAGAATCCCAGGAGAATAGATAAATCAGTAGCGGTGGATTTACACAGTGAACACTACTCAACATGCAAGGAACAATCAACATCCACATAACGACATATCCTTGGACAAAGAAGCCTAACACAAAAGAGCACATAAGTATGGTTCTACATACTCAGGATTCAAAGACAGTCAAATTGCTCACTGTGGACAGAAGTCAGGCTACATCCTGGAGGGGCAGTGGCTGGAAGGGGCATGCAAGGATCAAAGAGGCCGATATTACTGGTTACAATGGTGTATTCTCTTTAAATACATTAAGTTCCCTATGGATTTGCACTTTGCGTAATAAAACGAAAACCCCTGATCAGATATAAATCATTTGAAACTCCAAGATTCCTTATTGTTTTCTAGGATAAAGTCGCAAAGCCCTGTTTTCTTGCTTTGACCACCACATCCCTCGTGCAGGAAGGTGGAAAGCTCTGGTGCCTTTATGCAGCCACACAGGTACCCCACTGGCCTCCTCAGCCTTCCAGTTTTAGAACTTTTTTAGTAATACCTTAGTTATTCTTTGTTTCCTTATTTACAATGCCTTAAAATAATTTTTCTTTGAAGGGGACATCCTCATCCTATCAAGGAATTTGGGTGGAGAGCCAGTGCACGGGCCAGATGCAAAAAAGAGATGAATGAGTTCCAGTGCTATGGGAGGCCCATGAACTGTTGAGAAATGGCTCCCTTCACCCTGCTAGTCTCCATGTGCAGATTAACTAAAGGGAGGCTCAAGTGCTCCAGGAGTGTGGAGGCAGATGGCTGCCTGGAGAAGTCTGGGGTGAGTCATCAGAGTGGGCAGTGCAGATTGATTGGTGCTCCCGACCATTCCACAGTGACCTGCCGTGGGAAGCCTGGGAGTACACAAGGACACATGCCCATAGACCAGGACAAAGTGGAGAACAGGTTGGCAGCTGGAGGTGAGGCGGCCAAGGGCTACTGAGCAGGGACCCTGCTGTTCGTGCTCAGGGAACTGACCCCATGGGCTTTGAGGACAAAGAGGCTTTTAGCAGGAAAGCTGTAGTAGTTTTCTCATGTTACAACAGAATAGCATAGACTGGAAGACTTAAACAACAGAAAAAGTTTCCACATTTCTGAGGACTGGATGCTCAAGATCAAGGTTAGTAGGGTTCAGTTTCTGCTGCGAGGACTCTTCCTGGCTCCCGAACAGCTGCCTTCTGGCTGTGTCCTTACAGAGTCTCTTCTTAAAAGGACACTAGCCCTAGGGATCAGTCTCCCCTCTTCTCCTGCCTTTTAACCCCCATTTAACCTTAATTGCTTCCTTAGAAGTCACACACTATTTCATAGTATAATTGTAATAATAAATAATAGATTAGGGTTTCAACATATAAGTTTGGGGGACACAAACATTCAGCAACTGTAGTAAAACTGCCATTTGACTATGCTGAAGCACAAGTGTGAGAGGTGGCCCCAGGGCACCGCACTGACTGGGTCAGGGAGGAGAGGCCAAAGATCAGGTTCTGACAGTTTGGCGGCAAGATCCAAAGATCAAGAACCATGTGAGCTGAAAAGAGCTGGGAATGAAATGAATGTGAGGAATGATTATGAGGGAAATCTCCAAGGTTACTCTGAGGCTTTGGGAATCATCCTGCTGGGAGCAGCCCTATCACCTAAGGCCAGGAAAGAGAAGCCACTGCAGATTTCAACAAGCAGCCATTGAGAGAGGGAGAGTTAGAAGTGGACGCGTAGGATTTTTTAAGACACGACCTGGAAGAATAGAATTAGAGGAGCAACTGCAGATTTGCAAACCTCCTCCCTTGGGACTGGCAGTGCTGCTCTAGGCCACAGGAGTCACACAAAAAAGATTCCACCCCAACCCTTGTACCCCTGCTTTCTCCAAACAAAGGCTCCATCTTCCTACAAGAGTATTGTGCATTTGGCTATGGCCCAGTTTATGTTCTTTACATCTAAAATGTGAAGGGAGGCCCTTACTTGGTATTGCTGCCCAGTGCTCCGTGATGGAAAATGTAACAGCACTTCAGAGGAGCAATGGGCCAGAGGGCTGACCTATCCCCAGGAGCCAAAGACTTCTCAGATCCTTCTCCTAAGGCTATGCCTTCTGAAAATTGCTCCTAAAGGACCTCCAGCCTTGAGCAAAAGAGGAGATAAGAGACATTCTCCCAAGAGGACCCATGCACCCAGGTGCCAGGGGCTAGAGAACAGGAGTTTCCAGGAGTGGTTTGATGAGACAGTGCAGTCATGCACAGTGGGTATCAAAAGCATTTGGGAAGTTTCCAAAGATAAACTGACTTGACTTTGCCTTCCAGCTTAGTCCGGTGCAACAGCTTATGGCTTATGATGCTTGCAGCCAAAACTCCTATAATCAAGAGTGCAGATGTTGGTCTGAAAGACTGGTGATGGAGAATCATATTTATTCAATCAAGGGGTGAATATACACTTGCATACGCTGCCTCCAGGAGCTTCCATTCTATTCCCTCTTCTTATACTTGAGTCTCAGAGCAGGGCCCAGATAAAGACAACAGCATGCTCTAAAGAGTCCAAATGGTTTTGCATTACTGAAGAAATTCCCAAAACCACACACAATTTTCCAGACAAACTTCCAAGCCATGGCCCTTTGTCTATTTGACCAGGCACCTCCTCCATGAACTACCCTAATGTGTGTGCACTTCTTTATTTTTTTTTTTTTTATAGAGGCATGCTTTATTTATTTGTTTGCTGGTTTGTTTGTTTGTTTTGTTTATACATGCACTGGGTACAGTCAGAAGCGCGGGAGGGCGAGAGAATTCACCAGAGCCAGAGCGGGGAGCAGAGCAGGCAGAAGGACCGAAGCACACTGCTGAGGGGAGCAGCGGGCGGCAGGAGAGGTCTGCGCGCCATGTGGGACCCTCCTCTGGTGGCCGGGGAGCAGCCGGGGATCGAACCAGCGCCGCAGAGGCCGCGCGCAGCTTCGCAACCCAGCGCTCAACCGCTGCGCCACCGGGGAGGCCCTGTGCACTTCTTTATAAGGAATAGCACATTGCAGACCACAGGCAAGAGTACTTTATAGTGCAGGCCCTCAATAGAGCACTGAAAAGATTGAGATTAAAAATGCAAACAGAGGGGCCTCCCCGGTGGCGCAGTGGTTGAGCGCTGGGTTGCGAAGCTGCCCGCAGCCTCTGCAGCACTGGTTCGACCCCCGGGTGCTCCCCGGCCACTGGAGGAGGGTCCCACACGGGGCGCAGACCTCTCCTGCCACCTGCTGCTCCCCTCAGCAGTGTACTTCGGTCCTTCTGCCTGCTCTGCCCCCCGCTCTGGCTCTGGTGAATTCTCTCACCCTCCCGCGCTTCTGACTATACCCAGTGCTTGTATAAATAAATAAATAAACAAATCTTTAAAAAAAAATACAAACAGAATTGCTATTACCTTCTGGTCCCCTTTGGGGCATATCGAGCACACCTCCTTGAGACCCTAGACTAAGCATCTAGATGGCTGGACATCTAGACTCTGCCTGCTGTGGGAGGGGGTAAACTCGGAGGAGAATGCTTTGAAACACACAGATCATCCCAGGGGCTTGGAGCAGATCTTACCTTGGGCCTGAATGTATTTCCTTTTTTCTCTTTCTTTTCTTTTCTTGGTTCAGTTTTTTTGTTTGTTTTTCATTCTGGCAAGCCTGAAACAAAAAAATACCAGAACAGGGATATGTCCTATGGACATGTCAAGATGAAAAATAATCTCCTCCCAAGCTTTTCCTTTCTAGCAAAATAAACTTCCTTATTCTGAAATGCCCTTACTTCTTCAACTCTGACTTCTCACCCTAGCTTGGCATTTGATTCCAGCTTTTCATCCATGACGCTTCCTGTAGATTTATCAGCTATCCCCTAGATTTGCTTGGGGCCTAGACTGTGATTAGGAAAGAATGACAAAGTTTATAACTCATGCTCCTTCCCTACTTTTATAAGAAAGCTGCTTTGCACGCTGGCCCCCACACCACTGCCTCCCAGGCCTCTGTCCTTAGAAAACAGGAGATGAGGCAAGAATGTCTAAATACCAGTGTCTTATTTCCTGCCACCATGACAGCTGCTCCTCTTTATTTATTTGTTTTAATATCCTAGTAATCAGCTAGAGTCCTGGAGCACTGACCTGTAAAGCAAGCTGTGGGCAGGAGTTGCTCCTCTCTAACTTTGCAATTATGGACACATCTCTATACATAAATTTTCCTGAAATTCAAGGAGAATGAATGTATCAGAGATCAAAACATTTGTATGATTGCACAACCTACAGTCTTCCGATTGGAGAGAACGGATTTCTAGTGTTCAAATCCAAACACAATGGGCGCTGTCTGGGTCTCTGAAGAGACCCCCTTGGGGAGCAGGAACCATCAAGCTCATTCCCTGTAGCAGCTCCATCCTGCTGATACCATTGAATAACACATTTCACACTAAAAATGTGCTTACCTCTGTCTTTATGTTGTCTTGTATTTGATTATGAAATGTTGAATGTCCCAGCTACCCCAGCAGAATGCACATTCATAAGGTGTACTGCTTCTCAGAACATATTTACTTTCCTTTTCAGGAAACCTCCAGAATCAAGAAGAGTGATGTGAAATGCCAGCTCATTCGAGAAGGAAAGGCCCTCTTGACATTCCCACAGCTGGGTACCAGGGTGGTCATGCCCATCCCAAGGCCTAACCATGGCCCCACCTAGAGAGGGCATTTCAAGGGAGGATTGTCTGACTGTCCCCTGGGGTCCCAGATGCTACTTGAAGTGGATGGATTGGGTAGACACCTACTCCAGGCAGTAGAATTCATGCAGTTGCTTCCTTGAATAGGGCAGTGAGAAAACATGGCTAATGGTGTTGCTTTCACGTGTATCCATTATACCAAATGTGAGGCAAAGGAGCCAACTACCCAACAAGAAGGAGATCCAGGGCTTGCCAAGATCACCACCTTGACCCAGGTTCCAACAGGTTTGAGCTGGTATTATGAGTTCCAGCCTTTGCTGCCATGTTGGAGATGGTGAGGTTTGTGCATGTAGGTGTGATAAACTTCAATAAAGTGAACATGTTGGCTTTGTTTGGAGAACCCCTGGAGAAATAAAAATTGTTGCTTAAGTACGACTTGAACAGGTTTAAATATTAATCAGTATGTTAACATGAAATATGGATGGCCAGGCCGGTAAGTGTGAAAGTACAGCACTCTGCCAGAACTCTGTGCTGTGGTTCTGCTTTTGAAAGCAGTATTCCCTTTCAAAACACATCCTGGCTCTTATCTCAGGAAGGGTGAATGTAGATAAATGCTCACAGGTTCTTTGTAGTTGAGCCATAGGTGCTGTACATGAAATGTGCTATGGAAACAATTCTCATGTGGAGATACTGAACGTGTGGACCCAAAGGAAATTTACTGCCTGGGTGACGCGTCTCTTAAGTCCTTTCCTTACCAGGATACACCCTCCCACAGCATTGTTTTTTTAAATACAAATTTGTTTACAGAGCTTTTTCTTTTCTTTCATGGTGTCCTCATATCTTGCTAGATGACAATCATATACTCGTATGCCAAGGAAAGACTTTAAGATTGTAAAATCCAACCAACACCCCATAGAACAGGAACCTTTCTTCAGAAAAGAATTCTTGAACCCAGCAGAAGGCTCCCAGAGGAGCCAGTGGTGAGCTGGGAAGTTCACCCATGCCAGGCCCCTTCTGACCAGCAGTCCAAGCCAAGAGGGGGAGCGGGCACCCACTGGGGCAGCCCGGGCTCGCAGAAGAGGGTGCCCGAGACCGGGTGCACAGAGAGTGCGTCCCGCATTGCCATTTTAGAACAGGGACATTTCTTCAGTAAAGACTGCCTGAAGCCAGCAGAAGGCACCCAGAGGAGCCAGAGGTAACCTGGGAAGTTTGCCCATGCCAGGCCCCTTCTGGCTTGCAGTCCGAGCACAGAGGGGGAGCGGAAACCCACCGCCAGGGCAGACCAGGCGCACAGGGGAGTGTGTCCCCGCATCGGCATTTTAGAACAGGGACCTTTCTTCAGTAAAGACTGCTTGAAACCAACAGATGGCTCCCGGAGGATCCAGAGAGAGCGGAGAAGTTCACCCAAGATGCCGGCCAGTCCCAGCAACACAGTGTCCCAATGCATACAGCAAATTAAAAAAACATACAGTAGGGAGTAGAAGAACCACACGCAACCTAGCAACTCCTCAGGAAAAAAGCACACCACAAAAAGAAAACCACTCCCCAGATTGCAACGACAGTAACTTGGAAGAATTTCTGAACCTTCCAGAAAGAGAATTTAAAATTGCCATGATTAAAAAAATGACAGAAGTCATAAAGGAAAACAATGATAAGGGAAAAATAATCAACGATCAGAAGAATGAAATTGAGTCCCTAAAGAAGGAAGTGAGAGAAATGCAGGAGATCAAAGAATTAATGGAGGCACTAAAGAACTCTGGGAAAAGCAATGAAAGCAGAAGAGATGAAAGGGAAGAACAAATAAGTACTCTTGAAGACACAGAAATAAAAAGAACCAAAACAGAAAAGGAAAGAGAGTAAAAAGGAAAAAGACCGAAGAAAGACTTCGGGAACTGTCTGACTCCACGAGGAAAGGAAATATAAGAGTTATAGGAATACCAGAAGGAGAGGAGAGAGATGTAGGAACAGAGAAAATATTCAAGGAGATAATTGAAGAGAACTTCCCAAACGTGAAGAAGGAGATGAAAATTGATATACAAGAAGCAAAAAGAACACCAAACTTCCACAATGAAAGGAAAAATACAGCAAGACACATAATAGTAAAGCTCCCAAGAATCCAGGACAAGGAAAAAATAATGAAGCTGACAAGAGGGAAGAAACAGATAACATTCAAAGGAAAACCAATCAGGCTGACATCAGAATTCTCCGAAGAAGTACTACGGGCAAGGAGAGAGTGGAGGGACATAGTCAACAGACTCCAAGAAAACAGATGCCAACCAAGAATACTCTATCCCGCAAAGCTCTCCTTCCTCTATGAAGAAAGAATAACGAACTTCCCAGATAAACAGAAATTCTGGAATTTCATTACAACTAAACCCCGGCTCCAAAAAATACTACAAGGAGTCCTAAAGCCAGAACCTCAGAGGTACGAATAACAAGAAAAGAAGGCCAAAAAAAAAGTTATTTAAAGAATAAATAGATAAAATCAAAGGAAAGACAAACACAATGGCAAAAACAGATGCTAACATATCAATATTAACTTTAAATGTAAGTGGACTAAATTCTTCAATAAAAAGACACAGAGTCACAGGCTGGATTAAGAAACAAAACCCAACCTTTTGCTGTCTCCAGGAAACACTTTTAGCTACAAAAGATAAAAATAGACTCAAAGTGAAAGGATGGAAAGCAATCCTACAAGCAAATGGACCAAAAAAGAAAGCAGGAGCAGCTATACTTATATCAGATAAAACAGATTTCAAACTCAAAAAGATAAAAAGAGACCCCAACGGTCACTACATTATGATCAAGGGGACAATACTTCAAGAAGAAATAACACTCATTAACATATATTCACCAAACCAAAGAGCAACAAAATATATCAGACAACTATTGTCATCTCTGAAAACAGACATCAGAGAAAACACATACGGAGTGGGAGACTTCAACACACCATTATCAACAATGGACAGATCAACGAGACAAAAAATCAGTAAAGACACTAAAGCTCTAAATAAGGACCTAGAGTGCTTGAGCTTAACAGACATCTATAGAACACTAAACCCCCAAAAAACGGAGTGCACATTTTTCTCAAGTGCACACGAATCATTCTCCAGGATCGATCACATACTGGGAAATAAGACAAACATCAACAGATACACCAAGATTGAAATCATACCAACCATCTTTTCTGACCATGAAGGCATCAAACTAGAAATAAACCATAAAAAGAAGGCAAGGAACTCTCCTACCTCATGGAGATTGAAAACCACACTACTGGAAGACCACTGGACTAATGAGGAGATCAAAGAAGAGATTAAAAAATTCTTTGAATTGAATGACAATGAGGACACCAATTTCCTAAATGTATGGGATGTAGCAAAAGCAGTAATAAGTGGAAAATATAAGCAATAGAGGCTCACATCAAGAAACAAGAAAGAACTCAAAGAAACAACCTAAACTCGAAGCTCAAAGATCTAGAAAAAGAACAACAAAAAAAACCCAAAACCAGTAGAAGAAAAGAAATAATAAAAACCAAAGCAGAAATAAATGAAATTGAAGCTAAAATAAGAATCCAAAAGATCAATGAAACCAAGAGCTGGTTCTTCAAAAAAATCAGTAAAATAGACAAACACCTAGCCAGGCTCACAAAGGAAAAAAGGGAGACAGCACAAATAAACAGGATCATAAGTGAAAGAGGAGAAATCACAATGGACACAGCAGAAATCAAAGGAATAATCAGTAACTACTATGAACAGTTATATGGAAACAAGTTCAACAATCTAGAAAACATGGACAAATTCCTACAACTCTACCATCACCCAAAGCTAGATAAAGAAGAAATAGAACACCTAAACAGACCAATTACAAGCAGCGAAATTGAAATGGTAATCAAAAGCCTCCCCAAAAACAAAAGCCCAGGACCTGATGGATTTACAAATGAATTTTACCAAACATTCAGAGACGAATTAGTGCCTATCCTTCACAAACTC